CACATATCATGAAGGAAAGGGTTAGTGGTCCCTCTGTGTGTCTTTCCAGTTGTGAACGCCAAGGCCCTTTTACAGACCAAGAAACCTGATGCTTGTTTAATTTTTTAGACAAGAAATGGTGAGACCTAAAAACATGAGAGAATACATTAAAAATTAATTACTATTATAAAATGCTTATTTTAATAAGGGCCATTTTTAGACACTGTTTTTGGCAGGCTATCAGTACACAGCTCAAAATAAATATTGATATTGCCCATTGAAATTCGGACAGTTACAAGAATGTTTGTCAACTTAATTTAGTTTTGAGCCCATAGCCATCGTTTGAAAGTTAAGTTTGGACATCTGCTTATATTATTATGTGAAAAAGCTATTAATTTCGCTTTGATTAAATTCCCTATCTAGTTTTCCTTTATTATTCTAAATATTGAAACTATATCAGAAATGGGAACTAATTGTACCCCAGCATCTGGTAATCTGAGTTTTGGCTTTTGCCCTGGTATCATATGACTAGAATGATGAATGAAATCTCTCACCTCTGTGACATCTGTGGCTTGTGAAATACACATGAGAGGAGAAATGTAATAAGAATTAAAAATCGTGGGGTATCAGTATTCTCGTATATGAATTGGACCAAGATGCAAATCTTTGATACTTTACAAAGCACATCTGTGTTTCTGTCTGTTGAGCTGGCCTTATGCACCGTGTTTTTTTTGGCTATCTAGTTACAATGGCAAAAAGTCACACTCATTACTTATATTTTTAGATTTAACCAAGGCTCATGTCATGTTGAGCAAGTTGCTTTTTATTATTGACTAAGCAATGGTAAAGATTTTCCACTACAGTATTTTTGCCACTGATCAGGGGAATTTGGTAATGTTTCCTGCTTTAGTTTATAATATCCAAAACTTCAGTCTGTGGTAGCAGTACAAATATAATAATGATAATAATCCTTGCATTTGATATAGCGCCTTATCACGTTTTCGAGACGTCTCAAAGTGCTTCACAGAATATATTATAAAGTGAATCGATAATATATATTTGTGGGCGAACGTGAAATAAAACCATCAATGGCTGTGTGAAGCACTTTATACTGACTGTACTGAGTGTCCACTCTGTATTGCTTCTCCTTACACCTCTTACCTTTTCACACTGTCTCAAAGGAAGAGGAATCAACAGGAGTTGTATCACTTCGGGAGAAATATCAGCACAAAGTAAAATTATTTTCCCCAATTCTGATTTTTGTTGGGTACCAAACAAATACTCCAAAAAAAATCTTATCCAATCTATACTACTCTTGGAAGTTCTAATTATTATAAGTAGAATACATTATGGTCAACATTGAGATGTGAAATGGCTCCACTTGTGAAGCAAACCATAATTCACAGGCATCTTTGCTGGTTGTGAATTAACCAATTCGTTCCATTTAAGGATAGGTTTACACCCGGTGATGACATTTCCTTTTATGTTTTTAAAAACATCTTGTTAGTTAATTTAATAAATAGGTTTAGTGTCTTGAAAGAGTTACACGTAATTTGTCCTCCTTCAGAGACAACATAATTCGCCGTAAAACAAAGACTTAAACATGAGGAATTCCCAAAAGGCTCAACAAGTTTATTGAACGAGCAGCTGACCATACAGAGAAGTTCAGTTCAGGTCTCAGCCACTACATTTGGCCCCATTGTCTTAGATCAAGGAGAGAAAGATCAGCCAGGGCATTGGAGAAGAAAAACAAACCACACGTCCCCAAAAATGAAACCTTTTTTCCTCTTGCAATAGCATTCCTGTACCACTGAATGACTGGCAGCTTTGACAGCTAAAACAGTGGCTGTTGCAATGCAACACCGTGACTGTAATATAAAATGTTTCATTCTGTGGTTTTGTTTCAATAACAGATGAACATACCTCACTCAAGGAGTCAAGCATTTCATTTCATGATCTCTCAGCCTAATTCCTCTGTATCTCACTCTTCAATAAAGACCCTACTCATGGATATGTTGCTCACAAAAGGGATAAAGGCTTGTTTTCAAGCTTGACTGACCTTCCTCTTGAACAACATCAACCTGTAATAATAAGTGTGGAGGAGAGTTTTTCTTGGTAATCTATTGCAAATATATCTCAATAAAATATACAGTAATAATGTCACAGTTAATCCCTCGTATGAACATCACACATCAATTGTGGAGCAGAAAGAAAAATAATCAATGTTCAAGCATATGCTCACACATAAGTATAATTGTGTGTTCTACCAGAGAGTGAATTCAAAGATTTAATTTGTAACATTCATCGTTGGTTTGGAGCTGAACTTGGTCCAACCATTATAAAACATGCCTCGAAAACATTAGCTGATAAAATATGCAACATGTAAAATAGGGATAGACAGGAGAAAACGTTACATTAGCAATAGGTTTCTTATCTGTAGTTTAAAAAATGAATGCATATGATATGACAGAAGAAAAATTAATTATTTTGGGCACCAAATCTTTCAGTTATAGGCTGCTGAAGTGTCCTTTTTTCTCTTGTACTTTGTCATGTGCCAGTTTATTACCTGAACGGATGTGAGTGAATTACCGTGCTTTATTTTACAAGAAAAGAAACTGACACTGAGACAGGCGTGCTTTACATCACCAGATGACAGTGAATTTACGTTTTACCTGATGTGCCCTTTCACCCTTACCATGCTTAGTGAAATGGAGCTCTGTGAAGTTAAGTTGCACTGCTTCCACTGCTAATTTAATTCTCTACACTTCCTTTCTGATAATAATGTTTGCTGAATGTATCTTAGGAATCCTGTAAGAAAATACTTTTTTTTCCCCTCTGAAAACTGAATCTTCTATCACCCAAGCACATTTAGAGAATATGTTCTTTGATATTTGGGAAAACTTTACTGCTCCTTAATCTTGGGGCATGGGATAGTGCAATTGCAGTATGGTTATAAGTGAGGAATGACAGTAAATAAAACACCAGTTTGTAATCCACTGTTCTCCCAAAATAGTATCTTAAAAAGAAAATGTGATCGCTGAAACTAACCTAAAATAGTAAATGAATGAGTTCCCCATGTCTGGAGTTTTTGCATAAAGTTTGTATTTCCGTGGTAAGGCTGCGAATCACAAGTGTTGTCCACCTCACCTGACTGTTCAGCAGCATAAAAAATGTAGTTGGTGCCAAAATTCATCAAATTCCACCACTGGAGATAGATTTCCAAAGCAGCAGAGGGGGAGCTTATTGTTGGCAACAGCTACGAGACTGTAAGTTGCAGAACTTTGCTGTCTTGTTATTGGAATGGGTGAGACAAAGGTGGCATTTTTCACCATTAGGATTAGGAATCCTATAAGGATGTTCTGACTATCAGTGAACTCTCAATTGTCAGTGTTCTTTTAAAAATGAATTTGAATTGACTTCTGTTGAAATCTGCAATAAAATAAATTAATCAGTGAATCCATAACAAAATTATTACCGTGTTATAAACGGGGGTTGCCCTGTACCAATTATAACACATCCCCAGTTTGAAAGGGTTGTGTGAAATCCAAATTCCAGACAATGTTTGAAAACACGTACCACCCAGTCCTCATTGGTCAGAATAAACCTTTATCCATTTGAGATGGATTCAAACCTTTGTTCCAAGAATGAGAAGACATTATTCTAACATTTGAATCCACAGCTCAGATCTGAAGGATCTGTGTTCTAGCCTAAACATGATGAGAAAATAATCAGTTTGTTACTTCATTTTACCCTGATTAAGGTGAAAAGGACCTTGAAAAAATTAGTGTTCAAGGTTAAGACTAGTGAATGATTAAGTGTGTGCTTTCCCATTCAAGGCACAGATTCCACCTGTTAAGATGCTTCACATCATATTTGCAGCTTTTACAGCCACCTCTCACGTTCCATCACTGTCCCAGGCACTGGGCGCAGATTAGTGACCTGTGTTACCGTGTAATTACCATGTCAAGTAAATTGGTGACTGTTATCCGACAGTGGTATTTCTGCATTCCACTGATTAAATCCAGCAGATTAGCTTTGTTGTATTATTTAAGTATCTTCTGGCTCCGATCCCATTTTGTGGAGAAAAAAAGAAAGAAAAACAATACGACTGTCATCCAATTTATTCCATCAGCGTCAATGCTTGGTTTGACTCCTAAAAATTTGTGCGTCATCGGCCGGCATTTCTAAGTATAAATATCATAAATTGTTTTTTAGGAGAATTCTGCTCAGTGATGACATCAGTTTTGACAGACAACAGAACTCTTAATTACCAAGGTGACAATGGGTCGATTAATTTAGATCTAGTATTTTGCCCTGAATTACAGTTTATAGTAAAGGGCTGAGAACAATTCTCATCAATTTAGTGGAATATCTGATTTATTAAACCAATAACATCTATCTGAGATTTTGCTTTTTCATCTTCCTAAGCACATATCCATTTGAACTTGAATATAATAATACATAACAATCCTTAGTTGATATAACACCTTTTACTTAGGGAAGGCATCTTAAAGCACTTGACAGGATATAATGTTAAGATGTAATTACTGTTTGTTGGTGAATAGTAAGGAACACCTTTCCAAAATCTAAAATTCCTTTCCATTATTTAGAATTCTTGATTCAAAAATTACAAATTTTGATTCCAGCATTAAATATTTCCCAACTATTCTGTTTTTCCAGTGCTTAGGAGGTTAATACAGTCGACCATCGCTAAAATTACCTGGAGGCATCAGTACATTATAGATGTCTGTTCACTTTTAAGTAAGAAGAGAAATATTTTTGCTTTGATTGAATCACTGAACAAAGGTTTAAATGGGCTTCAGGACAAAGATTTGAAACTTTTTTTATCTGGAGCTTCTGGAAATCTCTGATCCCAGTGTAATTATGGTCCAAACAGAACATTTCCTGGCAAATTAGGTACATGTATATCAGAATTTGATTGTAAGCAGTAATAAACCCATCAGAACATTTATCTTACACTGGAAACATTAACTATTGATGTTTTTAAAATTTATTTTCAGTCTTGGACTCATAATATTGCAAAGGAGAAGGAATTCCTGAAGAAGTTGGTGAAAGGGCAAGTGATTACAGATTTGACAGCTGGGATTTGAGACGCCTTTTTCCAGACCAAAAGGTTTTGGGGGAAAACAACACAACAGAACAACAGCGGCCTGTGGACTCTTAATGTCCCAACGGGGAGTCAGGATACACCTGTACCAAACTGCAGGGGAGTCTGCACAGCTCTCAACAGAACATTCATCTGTCATCTTGCGTTAACACTAGATAGAAGGGGGAAAGTTGTGCAGATATAGTTCACTGCTCCACTTTAGTGTGCAATGAGAGAAAAGAAAAGACACTGAAAGATGTGCCATAATTACCTCCTGGAGAAAGAAGTCCAACAGGAATGTTGAGGTATTTCTCTTTTATAGCTTGAATGTAAAGACTCACATAAGCTGTGTGTACAAACACTTCTACGTTGTGTTTCATTTTTAATTTAATAATTTTCTTTCTTCTGCCCCAAAAACCATGAGACCGGTGGTTCCGTCCCAGACTTCTCCATTAGTGCTGCTATTTATTTTGGGGGTAGAGGATCTTTTTAAACTTTCTCTAGAAAACGGTCTGTGTAGAACTGAAGCTGTGAAGCGGTTAAAGATGGTCACCCTCTTTTGATCTAAAGCACAGAAAGAAGATCTTCTAATAGCTGAGAATGTTTTGCTATCTCTGGGGCCTGGCTGGTGCGGCCATTACGTGTGCGTGAAATGATCATGAAAAATAGACTATTTCAAACGACTTAAGTAACTGGAACTCATAATAACGCTTCTTTCAAATGCACAGCTTCCCGATCTGGATTCTTGCTTGTAAAGTTTTTATTTTTTTTAATGTTATATAAAAAAGGTCATGGCAGAACGAAGGACAAGTTGTATAGATAACTGTTCCACATGCTTGTCTTGTGCAGCAGTATGATTGATCCGAATCAGTGTTTCTTACTCTAAACCCAATCTTTCAGGAGTATGGAGACCAAGTTTCTCCAGTGGTTGGAACTATTCATTCTTTGCAAGACTGACAAATGAACGGCACAAGGTGGTGTTATCTTATCCATCATTCAGCAAATACTGACAATATGTTATTGGAACAGTCAACTTACATTTCTGCCAGCTGATAATGTTTTTTAAATTCTCATTTTAATACTAAATAAGTGTTTTTTCTTATTGATCATTGGCTGAGTAAACCTTGTTGGTACGGAATGGACGACTCTGGGCGTATATGAAAAAGGAGTCATTGTTTGTTCTGATGCTAATGTGACAAAATGTTTTAGAACTATCCTGTTAAACACATTAGAGGGTTCATGTTTCCAGTCTGCTGGCTTGCCTACCCAGGTTTAAATGTAACTGATACTCGCACACTGGGGATTTCTTGGAAGCATGCTCACCTGTTTGGAAAATTACTCGTCCAGCGTCAATTCCTAACATTTGTTTATTGCTTCCACCAGCATTCACTCTTGCTTCCAGCACACCACACACTCGTTAATTCACAGTTAAGCAAAGCCCACATTTATCTGTTCTCTCCCCTTTAGCAGATTGTTACACTATGACTGTGGAGGAAAAGCATTGTGGGGATGCTGATAGTGCCCTAGACACATAGTAATAACACTCCTTGTGTGTGGCTCCTACTTTGGGAGCTTTACCACCCTGGGATTCAACCAGAATGTTTAATCCACCTTTCAAAAAAATGCTTTTTTCTAAAATGTCTTTTTTTCTTTGTTTTTCCTTCTCTCTCTGTCTCTCTCCCTGGCTCTGCCTTACTCTTTGCTCCCTAATTATTAAACACTAAACCAATCCCAAACATCAATTTTATTTATTCCTTCCTTTGAGATTATTGTTGATGTTTTTATCTGGCCAAACTGATAATGGTCTAACCACAGACTAAAAACTAGAGTCTTTGGGATTTTAGCCTGTTTTTCTAGTCAGTATACTTAGTAGCATTTGTTATTATTCAGTCTCAGCTTCACTATATATTTTTTTAAAATTATTTTTATTTTTTTTAAACCATTTTTGAGTTGCTAAATAAAGCAAGTTGTTACATATCTTCCCCCACCCCCACAACCACCACCACCTACACAAACACTTCACTGTAAACACATACAAAAAGCTGTCTAGTGGGATTTGTTACACTATGACTGCTTTATTTTAGCATCATTAAAGGATACCCGGTAAGGCTTTCCGTGAATGAAGTTCTGACTTTCACCCTAAGTGTAGGAAATTACATATGATATCAGCAACATCCTAAAAGCTTTCCCTCCACCCCCCCCCCCCCCCCCCCACCTGCCACTGAATGTCAGCAAGGACTAAAGTCAGGTAAAATGATGATGGGATATCTTTAATTTGATTAAGCTATTAGCTATATTGAACCTGGAAAGAGGAAAAGGCAACTGGAAGCTCTGACTCTTGAGTAAGATAGCATTGACATGTATTCAATATTTATTTTTATGCATTCAGATTTTATGTATAAAACAACCATGATATAGCAAATTGATGAGCACTAACATAATTGTATTTGTTATCCAGTGGTTCATTCTGTTGAAAATTAAGCTGCCACACAAACAATGTATGTATGTATATGTCCTGCAGATCCATGTACTGCAGATTGGGGGCAAGTTTGTTTTTCTGATTATGGTTTTACTGGCGCCAGTCTGTAACTTTTTAATCACTTCTGAAAGATCTTCCAGGCCCTATCGTACAACCCAACTTATAATTTGATTTCCCCATTTACTTAAACACATGCCAGCCCAGATATAGGACTGAACTTCCCCAGATTTCAATTTTTTTATTGGCCTTGCAGTCATTAAAATGACTATGTAAACTAGTAATAGTAGATAATATATGATCTACTATTTCCCAGTTTACGGAATCTATATCTATATGTGTGTGTGTATATGTATGGAACAAAAACAGAAATTGCTGGGAATACTCATCAGGTCAGGCAGCATCTATGGATAAAGGAAAGTTGAGTCAACGTTTCGGGTCCACGACCCTTCATCAGAACCTGACCTGCTGAGTGTTCCCAGCGACTTCTGTTTTTGTTTCAGATTTCCAACATCTGCAAAAGTATTTTGCATTTTTTATATATATTATGGGATAGAAGTATCCTCCAACCTGATCTTTCTTACACTGAATCCTGTCCTATGCTCCATACCTCATACTCAGCTCAGCTGTGATCCTCTCATATCCACTAAAGTTTGCTCAACCATCCATTTCACATTGATCATCATCAAATCACACAGTGATGTGTTTGAATTTTCCCAGCTCCTGCTGAATTCTGCCCTTCGTACCTTATTATTTGCTGAATGCAGCCACAGCACGCCTTCCCAAACTACACAAGACTACCAAATCTCTTAGAACCCGTCCCGTTCTTGTGCATGTTTTGCCGGTCAACTGTAATGTCATTGGCAAAACCTGGTCAGGGAAAAGCATCTGGTTGCTGGGAAAGGTGGGAAACCACAAAAGAAGCTGAAGTAACTTTAAGAAGTGGGTGTGGAACTATAAAAGCACCGGCACTTTAAAACTTCAGCGGAAAGGAGGGTTAACCCCAATGGTGATGTGGGTAGAGGTGCAGCTTACAGACCTGGAGCTTGTTGGATCATATTTGTCAAATCCCTATTGGGAATGCTAAATAGTTCTGGCTTTCCCATGGTATGGGAGGGTAAAAACAGCTAGGAATATTTGTCATGTTCCCTCTTCAGCCCCTTCCCCGACCATTAGCGCACATGATAGCAGCCATATGAAGAGCAGTAGTCTTGACTGTGACGCCTTCAGCAGTTGACACTTAATAATAATAATACTAATCCTTGGATTTGATACAGCGCCTTATCGCATCTTCGAGACGTCTCAAAGCGCTTCACAGAATATACTGTAAAGTGAATTGACTGTACATTTGTGGGCGAAACTTGCTGTCAGATGTGAACAATGCTTCCAGCAAGCAACAAACTCCCAGCTTGAGGGAATTGGGAAACCAGGAGCATGTGCCAAAGGAGAGAAAACTGGGAAAATAATTTGAAAACTAAAAAAAAAGTTTTTTTTTAAATACTAAACTTCCCTGCCTGGGAGAAACCTCAGTAAATAAGCAATACTTTTGAAAAGGTTAAACGTTGTCGAAAAAAAAATTGTTTGCGATCATTACAAAGGGGTAAATAAATACTGCTCTGACCTCTAACCTGCCCTCCCAACAAAATTCGTGAGAGCAGGTGTTCCATTCATGCCTGTCGATGGAAATTATAGCCAGCATAGGTATGTCCAGAAATAAATAAAACATTTTAATTTGTCACATTTAATTCCCAACTGTTAAACTCAGCTTTAAGGACCCAGCAAAAACACTTGAGATGTTTATATTTGCTATAACGTTTCCAGTCACGAGATGTTTCTGGCATTAAAAGCTATTTAGCTTTGATATGTGCAAGTCATGATTACCTTTGATTCTGTCCACTTAAAAATCCAATGCACACTTTTTTAGAATTGTCATCACAGGTGATGTAATTGTTTGTATTTGACGGACCAACGATTTCATGTTTTGATGAGGTTCAGATTAAGAAATTGATGTTGCACTGAGTGACGACTGCATCAGCTCTCTGGATACGTGCTCTATAACCAGTGTGTATGATGATGTCTCGAAGAAAGATTTACAGTGAGCAGATCTGGGTCATTCTGATGAATCTGATGTATTGGGCCTCTTTAGCAACATCAGTTGCATAACCGTTAACTCCCACATGGCCTGTTATGACAGTACTACATGCTCTTTAGTAAAGAGATTCTCATCATAAATTACATTAGCAACACCACATCTGTCATTTATACTAGCTGTTTCTATTATTTTTACCCCTCCTCCAAGAGTAAAGAGCCTTACCGCTTCCCTAGTCCATCCCATTTGTATTGGAACATGGCAGAGACTCAAGGGCAACCCTGTTCAGCAACAATTTATAGTAAGATAGCATCTGGTAGTGAGCTGGTAAAACCCTAGCCTCAATGATGTTATGCTCCCTTTTAGTGGTACTATGACATGGATTTTAAACCAGGAACACAAGAATTTCCTATTTATTAATGATGACAACCATACAGATCATGTGAAATTGGTGATTCCTGCTTCTTTTGTGAAAGATACAGGATATAGTATGTTAATATATAACTTAAATAGTATGTAGGTAGTATATAACTTAAATCGTATGTTCGTTCTTTCATATCAGTGAGAGGCGATGTATTATCTCTCAGCCCATTTAGGGTATATTTTAAATAGAAAATATATTCAACCTGTATATCAACATATACTTCGATGCTGAACTCACTGAGTTGGGTCATTCCAGTAAAGATTCTAGTTTAATCCATTCTCGCCATGTAAGCTTTTAAAATGACTATTTAAATTCCCAGGATGGTTCAGGACGAAGGTAACCCTTCCAAACTGAAGGCAAAAGGGAAGCAATTCCCACTCAAATATGCTCCCATTTTATTTTGATGTTGTGAAACCTGGTGGCTGTAGTCAACACGCCACAGCCATTTCACTAACAGACATCTGTTGCTGAGGTTTGACATAATCATTTGGAAATATGCAGCACACCTGTTATCACACTCCATGGTGCAGACTTTGGTGCTCCAATGAAATGCATTACTGCACTGTTTTCTTTTTAAACAAATTCAATGTTCTCTTCACCAAGTTCCTACCTTCAGCCAATAGGATTATAACCTTAATCAGTCAACAAGAGCTGGACGTTGAAGCCCTGCTGATCTTGCCGAGTTACTCCTTATTGGTCTCGCTCCCTGTCTACAGTGGTCTTCATAGATTAGAAAAAGATATATTTCATGGTGAGTTAAAATTTGCAATTTAAAAATGCCCAGTTTTCTCTCTCTCTATGTGTGTGGTACTTAGCAGGAACTAGACGGAAACTTAAAAAAGGCAGTAAGTGCTACTAAGTACTACAGTGGGATCAAACTTGTTGACCTCCCAGGTAGTCATTGTGGATTGATTGGATATTTCCAGTGCTTCCTGTAATGTGAAACTTAAATCTCGAAAATGCAACTTGGAAATAAAATCAATATTTGTGCCACTCCTTAAGAAATTGTCCCACCTGCCCCAAACCTTTCCCGACTAGTTTGGGAGTGTGAGGATACATAAGAAGAAATGCATTGCTCTTCAGTTCTGAGATTGAGTGAAGAACCTAAACACCATGTTTAATGATATTTGGTGCAGATGGAATCAAGTGTCAGCAGAATAATTGTGCATTGGCAGCACTGGAGGACTCATCAGTTTAGAATTGTTTCATTATGTAAGAAAGCACTTTGTACTGCCAATTTGAAGCTATTGAATATTAAGGATTAATTACGTAATATCAAATAGTCTTTCTGAGACTAAGATACCAATTGAGGCCTATTTTGTTCTGAAGGATACTTTGGAAAATGACTGGGTCTAATCCAGAATTTAGGGTACACTATTTTCTTATTTCCCTAACCATTTTCTTAAACACTTAAAGAATATATATCACAGTGCTGAGGACTCCAGGGATAATACCTTAAGGGAGTGCGCTGTCAGTGTGTTTTTGGATTGACGTCAGAATAGTTGCAAATGGTTACTCATATAAAGCTCATAAATCAGAAGACTTACCGGTGAACACATTCAATGAAACTGTGCAATCTTGTTACTTTGTGCCGGGTTAAATGAAAACAATTGGAATGGACCTGTTTAAACTTTTCTCCATTGAGCTTTTCCTGAATGCAATTGTGTGTAAACAGAAATACTGTATATTACTGAGATTGAGTATACTGTGTGACTTTTTGGTGCATAGTCCTATCGCTGCTGGAACTGTATGTTCGTGACAGTTTGAAATGGATGTAGCTGTGTGGGAGCCTATTTGTGGTTCATATCAATAAGCGTGACAGCAGTTTTCACTTGGCACTTCTTAGTACTTTTAATATGTTGTTGAGCTTTTCAACACCAGCAATCAATTAGAAATTTATTGAAGTCAATACTGATTACCTTATCGAGGACAATTAACTTTAACTAAGCCGGTACAGCTTGTGAGGCTTCATTTACATCAATTGGTTCATGAATTACAATCTAAACTCTGCTTTTCTGTTTAAAGTAAAGGATAACAATGCTTCAGAACTGAAAGTTTCTGAGCTCTGGATCCAGCAGTGTCAACGTAATGAAAATATGAAAAAAATGAACGAGAATAAGAATAGAACGAGTTCTAGTTAATTGAATTTTAAATCCTTGGGTAAAACTCACCAGACAACTTTTGCCAGTTC